AGGCAGTTGCTGATGAACCTATATAGGTGTGGATGCATATTCTCTCAGAGAATCATGATTTTAAAGCAGTGGTCTTCCCAGTTCACAGATCTGAGTCAAGGTTGTTAATTATTAACCATGAGCACGCAGGTTCCAAACATCTCTTGAAGATCCCAGAGTCTAAAATTTTCTATTTTGCTAGAGATTTAATTAAAAAAAAATAAATCCTTTACCCTCATACAGCAGCAATCACCTAGCAATAGAAAACCCATCTAGAACCTTAGACAGATGAGGACAAAAAAAACCAGAGCAATGGGAAAGACAGAAATACTTGTAATTCAGCCAGGAACTTTTTTTTCTGACTGGATTCTTGCGCCCAATCCACCCAGAGTAAATCAACGGGCATGTGGCATGTAGTACAGATGGATCAGCCATGGTGAACGTATACAGCTGCACATATCTGGTACACAGGTGCTTGGCTTTAGACTCGCTGGCTAGCCAAGAGCAGTTGGAGTTTTTGGCAAATGCCCATAGTTCCATGGATTGGAAGAGAAAAGACAGTGAGAAAGTGTCAGCTGGCACTAGCACTTTCCATAGCAGCTCCCAAGCCTGAGCCAAACCTGCCCGTCTCATTCCTCATCCCATAGTCTGAATCACTGTCAAATTCCTAAACCTATTTTGCAATTCAGTGGGAGGCTTTTCTGGCTGGAGTTATCGGAACAGAGATACTGGGATACTTAGTACCTCTGTATGTGGTTTTAAGCCCTTCAGTTGTTGATTGTTCCGGGGCAAAAGTGCTTGTTTGGGGTTTTTATGGTCAACTTTTCTTTTTACCCCTTTTTTTTTGTTGTTTTTTTAACTCCCCTTCCTCCCCCAGCTGTAGGGGAAGGAAGTGCAGGAGCCTTGTGTGGACAGGCTGGCATTTGGCAGTGGCAGCGCAGGCTGCTCTTTGCTCGCTGGACACGCTGCAGGTGTAACTGAAGTACGGTGACGTTTATTATGTCCCTCTAAATAGCTGCTGCTGATGTTGCAGAACTGGTGCTGAGCCAGTAGAAATGCATGAACCATAATTAAGCCTGAGAAGACAACGTTATGATGTTGACAGAGACAAATATGAATCTCTCCACTGTTAATGTTACGTTCAGATTAATCTGTGTGGTATCTGCATGTGACAATGGGCCATCTCACTTGCTGATGGTCTGTTGTGACTGAAACATTAGAGAGGCACACAGAGGTCATATTAACCTTATACATCATTAAATGTCTATCAATTTTTCTGACAGTTCCATCAGTTTTTCATAATCTGAGATAATTTTCTCTCTAACGCTCTATTTAAAATAAGTAATATGTCCTTTTATTATTATTATTTTGCAAAGATACCCTTACAACTATGAGCTGATAGAGATTTGCCTCTGCTCCTTGCTATTAAGAGACACATGTGAGTTGTCTATTCATGAAGATCTAAATTGGGCACTTATATCTGTGTGTTTATAGAGCAATAATATCTGCTCTATAAATAGACGGAACCTCTTGCGACCAAAAAGGGACAAAAAGCCAGGCTGCCACTTAACCAGAAATTTGGCTTTATCAGTATGATAAGCCTAGAGTGATGATCAGGTCTTAGGACTGCAAGGTATTAGCAGCCATCCCAAAAATCCAAGTTAAGAGTGTAGAATCTGCAACTGGGAGGAAGCCTGAAAACCGTGGGGAAGGTCTTAGTTCTGCTAGGGACAACTTTTGGAATCTGAGGGACTCTGTTCAAAGCCTGAAAGATTCAACCTTTGTTGGTCTAGCTATGCAGACTAGGGTACCCTAGACCTAGAGCAGGGTACCCTGGGCCAGGTACCTTGAACAGCCCAATTCCTTCAGTTTCTGATACTCCAGCAGGAGTACAGATGGGATTTCACTCAAATAATGTTTAACTTTACAGACGATTTATCTAACCCAGATTCCTTTAGACAAAACATTTAAAATGCAGAAACTGGTGGTTTTAATTAAACAGAATTTTGCTGGGAAATTTCTAACTTCAGTCCTCTTATGACTATCTCTAAAATATGTGTGAAGTGTCTGTAATTTAATCAGCGTGCTGTTAGCTTATAAACCTAATGACAACTGGTTTAATGCCAACATTTTTGTTGGCACTCTAGTTCATTTTATTATAATCTTTCAGCAACTCTGGCACTAAATTCAGATATCAAGAATAGTAAGGAAGAATCAACATATTTTCTCTGGTTTCACACAGAAACCTTGGTGTTTTTGCCTCTTTTGTGCCAAAAGTAACATTAATTAACAACAGTACATATACTACAGGGATATCTTACCTGTCCCTCACTGAATATAATCATCATTTTAAGCAATGACACAGTATCCTCAAACAATTTACAGCGTAAGTTTGTTTGACCTTTAGTTTGAAACTACCCACAATGAGGACTGATCTTTTTTCACTCTTCATTACCTTAGCCACTAACATCCAAGCACTTAAGGCCTCCCTATTTTTGCATGTGGGATATGAATATATGACTACATGATATATTGATTTCATATGAATGATAAATGGACATATTTTTTTTCCCAGCATATGAAAAAATACAAAGCTAGCAATTTATTCACGTCAAGAAGATCTGGAAAATCACCCTTCAAGAAGTGGTTTAACCTTAATTTTATTCTCCTTTTCTTTCTTCTTCCCTCCATCCTGATTCTTTCTTAAGAACAGCACAGGCACGGTGTTCATACTGTGGAAAGGATATTAGTCTTCAAATAGACCTTGTCCAGTCTAGCTGGCATTACACACAGACGAAGGACACTTTCCCAGCAAAATATTTTATAAACTGCTCTGCAACCTGCCCTTCCTAAATGATATTCGTGCATTTTAATTGGTTCAGGGTTTTTTTTTCCCATTGATTAGGCTGATAGACAGTGAAATATAGCTAAGAGGAGGATATCAAGAGACAAATACTGCTTTTAAATGTGCTTAGGTTTTGCTGCTGCTGTCAGTGTTTACCACGGCAGATCACACCCAACACGTCTATGAAACACACCACATAAATAATGTGGGGAGTACCAGAACTGGCTCAATGATGGAGAGAAAGTTCATCCTTCTGTGGTGGTTTATTTTGGTTGGTGGGTTTTGTTGTTTTTTTTTTTTTTTCAGTAGCTCATCACTAGCATGAAGAATATCCAGTAAATTCCCAATACACTGCAGACTGACACAGCTCTCCATGCAGCTATTAATCACAGTAACTGTGCTAATGTATGGAAGATCTAATTACCTGTGGTATAAATATGAAGTGCTGCATCAAGAGGTCTTTTTAATCCCACAAATTTCAAGTTCAGCTTGCTCAAAAATGACCAGGGTTTTTGATTGCACAGGTTTGATTGTAGTCTTGGAAATACTGTGCTAAGAGGTGGTTTTCCATAATTTTGTAAGAAAATAATTGTAATCTCTTAGAAATAACTGAAAAGATGATAAGCCATCGCCTCTTGAAGAATTTAGCCTTTCTTCAAAAATAAATCCCTTCAGTGTAGGGATCCTGTGTTGTCAAAGTGATTGCCAGAAAGAGAATGCTCTATATTCATTATCTAGATCTTTTCAGTGTACTCAGTTCAAGAAGGAATTTTGTAAGAACTCACAATCACTCGAACAGAAAATAGATGCACTGAAATGCTATTACATTTACAGAAATCTGCAGGATAATTTATTTATGAGATGGGTTGTTGCTTTTACATACTCCTTATGTTTATCAAATTTTTTGGCATTTATTCTTCCCAGTTGGGCCAGTGAAAAGCAGCCAATTAAGGTGTTATTCAGGCATACAACTTCCAACCCTATCCAGAAGCAGAGAACAGAGCCAATAGGAAGAAGAGCCAATAGGAGAAACAATTATCCAAGGGGTTTTTTTAGAAGCTTCTAATAGATTCAGCTCAGGTAGGTAGAAAAGGGTCCAGGAGAAGCTTACTTGCATGGCAACTAGAGCTCACTTGACCATGACGAAGAGCTGAGTCGCTTCCCACCAAGCTCACCGTGTCCTTCCCCAAGAGGAGTGAGGGCTTTGCAGCCAGGTCCCACTCTCCTGCTGAGAGCTGAGCAGGGCTTTCATGGCTGATTCCTGATGAACCTGCTAACCCCCAGATCGATGCTCTTCTGCAGGTATAAAAACTTGTCGGTCGTGTTCCAGTAAACATGGGGCTGTGCCTTGACTAGGAGGCCACTCGGTGGACAAAAAGAAAAGAAACAAACCGTGATTGGAGCTTACCTCCATGGCAGAGAGTTTTACCAGTTGTAGACAGTGGGTGCCTGAGCAGGGAAGGCTGAGTTCATTACTTTGTGAATCCGTAGGTTTTTACTCATTGAAAAATGAGGACAGCAGAAGAGGCATCAGTTTTTCTGGCTTGTTTCACCACTGCACTTGCACACATAGCGATGATGATTTAGGCCTCCAATACATAGTTTGAATACTCTCCTGCTATGGCTTTGTCCTACAGATTTGGCCATAAAGCAGCAATGATTTGGGCTTTAATGGCAGTCTTAAAACTTTTTGGTCTAACAAGCAAATATCATTTGGTGTGCCCAGCAAAGTTGTTATCTCTTTATGTTTATGTCAATTAAATTACATCTGAAGTAAGGTTTAAGTGCGGTGACATTGCAGTTAAAGATCAAAACTGATTGTGTTTTGCATGGCAATGTTGTAAAACACTGTTATTTCTATTTTAAAAAAATCCATTTTTCTATAACAGATTACATTGTTTCTTTGAAGTGTGAATTTAAGCAGCTAGTGTTTGTAATAATATGTACATCATTAATCTTCAGACTTTAATCTCTATAGTCCTATTTAACACAGTGAAGCTTCAAAGGGTATGGCTGCTTTATATTGTTTATTGAGATATGAGGTAAAATATAAATGAAAGATCTGGGGAATCAAAATTATATTCATAACACTTTTTAATCTGCATAATGTATTTAATGCTAGACGTGTTAGAAAGCTATCTGTATATTTTCCTGAACAGTAATACGGACATTCTGGAAAGAGTAAACATATTAATTAGAGCCTGCACATCTCTCCTTCTTGCTAGTGTAATCATTAAACTGATTTTTCCAGTCTGACATGTAATTGTTCCAGCGATGGAATCCTGCTTTCCATTCTCGTTCTGCTTCATCAATATTTCCTGTAAAACATGAAATGGGTTACATTAATCTAAATTTGAATCTCTTTATATGCTAACTGAAAAATAATTTTGATTATCAATGTCATTTTCTCCAAATACATTATAGGATGGCGTTTTGCCTCTTTTCTTAAACCTGGAGTGACTGAAAAGTTGGTGATTAACATTTTGTCTTTACATCAGGAAGGAAGGACTGCAAAGAGATCATTCTGCCACACCACAGAGTAATAAATATACTTATATATAGGCTTGTTGCTTTTAAATAATACTTCTGTCCATCAAATTCATAATTTTAAAGCTTTTTTTTTTAAATCCTCGAAATATTACTTTGGTTCAGTATACTCTACAGTCAAACGTACATCCCTGAAAACTACGATGTGCAAACTGAGTCAGGTGTTTGTAAAGATATAGTGAAATCACAGTTTTGTTAAAGGCAACAACAGTGTTGCTGTTAGTTTTAGTGGATTTCAATGGATGGGCAGGATTTCATCCTACAGTGGAATAAATCTGTAAGTTTAAAGCAGAAGGGGCCCAAGTTTGGAGAAGGATACTGTAAAATGTGCACTATGTCAACATGAAACCATCTTCTCTCTTCTTTTTCATTCTAGACTATAAAGCATTTGCTGACTAATCCTGTGTCCCAAGGCAATATTTATTGCCAAATTTGTTATAGGCATCAGAGCAGAGGGTGAGGATGAGAAGAGTAATAAAAATATATCATTTTACAAGGTTCCCAGAGTATTTTATGGACAGGGATCACTTCCTCCAGTCTCAAAAGGTAATTAATGCTAGGGAGAAATGCAGTGACCTTGCAAAAACTACCCATACAACAACTAAAGGAAAGATAATGTATGCAGGCTGTATCACATACTGTGGCTTATTATTTTGGGTCAGCTGTAGAATTTTTCTCAAAGTTCAGAAACCATTTATGATGCCTTTATTCATTCTGGACCTAATTATCTCTGTGTCCCATATTGGTATAGCTTGCATCCAAAAAAAATTGGTAATTGTGTTCATGAGATAGCAGTTCCATGTTTTTTTATGCTCTTTTGACTTTATGTTCTTCTGCTGCAGTAGTGCATAGGCCCTTTTCCCCCATAAATACACCCTTTCCCCCTTTTTTTATGATCTGCCAGCACTGCAAGTTTAACTTGTTGTGTGAAAATGAAATACTTTTGTGTTTTACACATCAGTAGAGAAAATATTCTGGAATGAGAGTTAACAGATTCAGAGATTTAGTTTGGAGTAGCATCCAGTAATTTGGTTGCTTATCTGCAGTTGAGCTAAACATTTCCAAACCTTTTTGGTCTGGAAATCCAGATGGCAATTTAATGAGACTTTGAATTGAGATTTACATTACTTCTTGGTTTCAGTGAGACCAGAAATAAAACCAAGATACTTTTTCTTGGGGAGGTTCTGTCCTTCTGCTTGTAGGAAAAAGGAAAATTGTAAGGAACAAATTTAGGATTTTTTTTTTTTTAATTAACCACACTTCTCTCCCTCAGTTCAAAGATGTAAATAAGCTTGGTTATAGCAAAGAACAAAGAAAAGTTCAGATAATTTTTTACACTTTCTCTGGAAGCCACAGTTGTCATTAACTCAAAGAGAATCTGAAAATGGTGGTAACAATAAAACCACATTTTGATTGCTAAGCTATGCAGATATGACTCAGGACTATGGGGAGAAGACATGAACAACGTTTTACGTTCCTGTCTCGAAGATCTTGCCTTTGCACATTTCTTAATTTAAAGATGTAGCCAGGGTCTCAGGTAAAGACAAATTTTCCACTTATGTCAAATGGATTGGTAATTTAGCGTGTGAACTAATACTAGTGTCAATTTGGGAAAAAAAAAAAGCGCCTTAACCATATTTCTTGTCTTATTCTTGATTATGGGTATCCAGTTTTATTTATCCAGGCAAAGCCTCCACTCATGAACAACAACAACAACCAAAAAAGAAAAACCAAAAAAAAGGGTTTGATGGGTTTTTTAAATTTTTTTTTTTAATTATTTGGGTTTAGATATGTTTGAAGTCTGCCCAAAGACCTCAGAAACTGGAATACCTCTACCATACAGACATCTTCAATTAAAAGTCATTGTTCTAGAGTATATATCATGAGGCATTTCAGTGCTTCTTAAAGATGATGGTGAAGAAGTGAGCCAGCTAGAGAGAGCAGACAAGAAGACATTCAGAGTAGCCTCCATTATGAGCCTAAAAGACAAAAGTGGGAAGGAAAACACTAAAATAAGAACTTGGATTCCCATTTGTTTGCTTTTTTCAGTGATAAGATCCAAGTTGAAGTCACAAGCCAATGCATCCCATTATCACCAACATCATCAATCTCTTTGAAGCAACCACCCTTGACTTAGATGAGCTGACAGCTAGAAGGCAAAAATAAAAAAGATTAGAGAGTTCAGCTTGGCCGATAATTACAGCTCAGAGCACTGGGTTACTACAACGAGCTGCAGTATTACGGAAGTCAGGTAATACTACAGTGAGGTTATTTTACTATATGCAGTTATTTATGCAATCCCAAACATTAGAGTAATAACTATCAGCCTAATGTAAAGCCCAGTGAAGTTTACAAGGAGAAAAGGGGAGATTTCAACAGGCAATGAATCATACCTCAGTGCTCAGAAAGGTCCCAGTTTAACAGACCAGAAAAAAAGAAAGGTTATTTCCGATTCTTCAGCAGTGTCAGCACAGACAGCTGGCATTTCTTTTCTTTCCATACAGCCCTTACATTAATGGCATTATAGTAAAGTTAAATATATCTCCATACCATCACTTGTTGAATTGCTAGATGTGCCAATGAAGTGCTAATCTTAAATGTATTTTTGTATATTAACATTAAGATTGGACAAAGGCCACAGAGCTGTTATGATATAGTGTAATTAATAAGGGATAACAAGTAAGGATTAATTTTTCTGTTCTCAATAGCTCATAAATGTGGGTGCCTGCAAACTTCTTGTAGCACTTATCTTACTAATGAATCAAATTTAACTATGCTGTAGATTCTTATGGTGATGGTTTCTACAGAAAGGAGAAAACAAATAGTATCTTTACTTCAGTATCTCTGTTCAATGTTCTTTAGTCACACACTCTGAATATCAATGCTTTTTAACCACAATAGTATATTTGTTTTCATATGTGTTTTTAAGGACTTCAGACTTCTTATTTATTTATAATTTTCTTCTTCCACAAATCCATAGAACTCTCTGGGAGATGAAATATTATAAGGGCTGTTATCTCTCCTAAGACCTGGGATGCAAGGAACTGGAGTTAGAAAGAAATCAGATTGTTAATGCACATCGCTCAGTGACTGTAGGTGCACTAAGTACAACCTTACTTTGTCAGTAGGTGCAGTAGGATTGGTTAGCTTACTTTTGACTATTTCACTTTTCTGCGTGCATGAGTGCAGCATCTAGCTGGGTGGGAACTTAAAACTAATTTTGATGGTCAATTTACTAATTAGTCAAACTTTTATTATTCTTACTGCCCTAAGTATCTAGTTCTGTAGAATCCAGGTGCTGTTTTGAAGATCATAGCCAATATAATTATTTTTGTTATTGACTGGTCAAGTGTTTGAACTTTTCTCTGTCTCCAGATTCAAAATCTTTTTAGACTTGATTTAAAATATAAGGTATTTATATTACCTACTTTAGTGTTTGATTTCTTTATAGATGATATATGATGCAGTGGTATTAAATAAAATAGAAAAATGTGTATTATATGTATTAGGCACACTAAAATAGTAATGGAACAATAAATGGAAAGCTTGGCTGCCTGCAGCTTTCTATAATCTAGATGAAATGGGCATAGAAACTCAACATGACCCAGCAATGTGTGCTGACAGCCCACAAAGCCAACTGTATCCTGGGCTGCATCAAAAGCAGCATGGTCAGCAGGTCAAGGGAGGAAATTCTACCCCACTGCTCCGCACTAGGGAGACCCCACCTGCAGTTCTGTGTTCAGCTCTGGGGTTCCCAACACCAGAAGGGTATTGACTGGTTGGAGTGAGTCCAGAAGAGACCACGGAGATGCTCCAAGGGCTGGGTTCCTCAGCCGTGGGGACAGGCTGGGAGAGTTGGGCTTGTTCAGCCTGGAGAAGAGAAGGCTCTGGGGAGACCTTATAGCACCTTCTAGTACCTGAAGGGGCTACAAGGAAGCTGGAGGGGGACCTTTTACAAGGAAGGTTAGTGACAGAAGAAAGGGCAATGGGTTTAAACTCAAGGAGGGTAGAGATAGATTAGCTGTAAGGAAGAAATTCTTCCTGCAGACGAGGGTGAGGCACTGGCGCAGGTTCCCAGAGAAGTTGTGGATGCCCCATCCCTGGAAGTGTTCAAGGGCCGGGCTGGATGAAGCTTTGAGCAACCTCATCCCCCTTGTAATTTCTGCAAAATAAGACTGGTTGTCCCCTTCAGGTTCTACCTGATATAATTCCACTTGGTCTATCCAAACCCTACTGGAACTATAACTTGCAAAAATGATAATGTAAAATTTCCTTACTTCTTCTTTGTCATCTTATATCGTATCATGATAAAGCAACTTTTTTTTTTTTTGAATGGAAGAAGTAATAGAAAAGAGAGACTGTCGGAGAACAAGGATATGCACCGTCCATTGGGTGTTAAAGAACACAGGAAAGGCAAAATAATATTTCAGTGAAGAGAACTATTATAATATAAAGTTTTATATCATGTTTATAAACAGAATCCTAAAGGTTTCCTTGTCAGGATAGTGTAAGATTATATAGGGAACACAAACATAAAACCATAGGATTTCTGTTACAATATTTCAAGGACTGATAGATGTAGATACATGACAAAGCAGCACTACTTCTTGACAACATTCTTGTCTTATTTGTATACTAGGATCCAGGCATGATGATTCTTTCCTTTTTGCTAAGAATAGGTCAGGAATTTCTTTTAATTAAATTACATAAATTTATGTTGTTATCCCTCACACCACAGGACCGTGCAAAGCAATCCTGCTGTCCTGCCAAGATGTGATGAGCTATGTCTGGTGATGCGCTCTCTTCTGCTCCACCACAAAGCATTTGGTTATGAGCAGCCCATTTGTAAGATGCACATTAGTCAATAGGGATTCACAGCCAGGTTAAAGAAATATGTAAAGAAGTTCAGTTCTCCTGGCTCAGCATAAAGGTCTTGTCAGAATTTGAGATACCTCCCTAAAATCCATCCATAATTTGCTATACTGTGATTTTAAAATCACAGAGCATGCTTTATAAATTATTCATTTTACCTACTGATTTTGCTTCTCTTGATTTAATTGGAAAACATCTACTGAATTGAGACGGGATAAAAGTTGAGCCATAATACAGTTATAGGCTCAAATGAGGAAGGAATAAATTATTTCAAAAAGGATCATCTGTGCACCATGGAAGTTTACATATTTTTAAGACTAACATTCAACTGAATCTTACAGAAAGATTGTAAATTACTAATTAACATTTTAAAAGTGTATCTTATTTTTGAAATGAGACTTTTTTCCCCCCACACCAGTCAAGCTTCAGAATTCAGTTCCAGATTTTCAAAATCATTTTATAAAATCAATTCCTTTATGCTCCAGAAGTACAGGGGCTTAGACTGTTCGGTGGGGTTTGTAAAAACAGTGGCGTGGGTCTTGTGAAGGAAATCTGAGTCTTTGTGTTCAACTGAGCTTAAAGTTTCAAACAACCTGTTATATTTTTCTGGGTAGGAAAATTTCATAAACTCATTGTATACACAGCCAGGAACAAATCAGTTCTATTTTCATAGGCAAATCTTGAAGTCATCATGGACTGACAATAGAAATAAAACCCAAGGCACTGTCATGTGAGATATAGAATAGAAACACCTTTTTGGCAAGAGCAACATGCTTAACATCTTCTGCGGATTAGAATAATAGATAATATAATCCCAATATAACATCCCACAATGTGTCCTAGGTACATGAATTTATACAGAACATCTAAAGCCTCCAGAAATCCCAGTGTGAGCTCCCACTTCAGCAATGTCTTTCCTGCTCTCTCCAGTACTCCAGGACCCCTGATCCAGGCAGTGCTGACCCTCAGCACTCTAAAACATCTCATGTTGTGGCTGCATCTGCACTTTGGGGCAGAGAAGCTCTGTACCACACAAGTCCAGGGCCCTGGCTTGTGCCTAGGTCTTGTCCTAGTGCACAGCAGGGGCTGAAGTGTGAGGACCCCATGGCTAGAAGTGTAGGGTCCACCCTCACCACAGCATGGACAGTTTGGTGCAACATCTGAGCATCACATGGAAATTCAGTGACAGATAGGAATGTAAAGATTTAAAATCAAGCATCACATTAATATCAAGCTAATGATCCTTGTCTAAAAGTTTAAATAAAATAATTTTTACCTGTTAATTCCAGGACTCTGGGGAAAAAAATATTCCAAAATCGACACTGTTGAGCACGTAGTTTTGTCAGTATCTCTGAGGAGTCAGTATTTAATGTTAAATATTTTTGTTCAGTACTAGTGAAGACTGGCCATCTTGTTCCATTAATCAGGGTCCCATTTGGAGCTCTAGATGAGAAAACAAATGTTTAATTTGGAATGAGGAATTACTTTGGTACATCAATAAATTATTATTTCAATTTATTTAACAGTTATTTCAGCTTAAGTATGTTAATTAGGAATTACTGGGGGTATACTCTTGTAAATAACAAGGCGGGGCAGTGGGGAAGAAGGTAAATATGATTTAACTTAGTTTAAAAAAAATAGAATAATTTATATTCCCTTTATGTTAGGTTCTGGATTAACCTAAGGGGAAAAAAAGTTATTAAACAGCCATACACAAACTCTCCTTGTTGAATTTGGAGATTCTCACAGAAGTTATAAATTATTATGGGCGACTTAAGAACAAATAAACCAGTTTGGGAGGTCGAGTAGTTCATGTTTTAGTTATAATGTTGCTGATCCTTTCAGATAGATAAACATATTGGACTAAATAGCTCAGATAAAAATGCAAGTAAAGGTATAAATAATGTCCAAACTTTGGGTGGGAGCTATATTGGGAGAGAAAACAAATATTCTTCATTAGGAAGGAAGAATTCCTCCCTGAATCATGCTGAGGCCCATCAGTGGAGCCAAACATGAGCAGCCTCAAATCTTTTGGAAACTGGGAAGAGGTACAGAGCACTCAGCCCTTTATAAAACAAGCTCCACACGTTAAAGGACTACGGTTGTTAGTATTAAAATAGTTGTGATAAATATTTATCATACAACAGAATTCATAAGGTTCTAGGGACAGACATCCAGTTTCTCCCCTCCAAAAAGGACACTATGTAGTTTCTATATGACTAGAGAAAAAATTATTTGTTTAAGTGTGCAGCAAAAGAACAAAATGGGGAGCATTGCATAAGGAACAAATGAGATGGAATATGGTTTTCAGGAAAAGAAGATGATTTGTGACTGTTTAAAGTATGAATCTATGTTAGCTCAGAAGAGGTTAAGAGTACAAACTAAACATTTCTTTGCACTGCAAGTAGAAGGACTCCTTTTCTGAAAGTTGATATGAGGGAATTTTGGGTTTAGGGCAAAACAACAGTATTTGATGATGGGATAAATGAAGAACACTATTAGCTAAGTTAATTTGGTTATCTCTACTTTACTTTTCACCAGGACTCTTCCCAGAAGGCAGTGGTCAGAGAGGAGTCCAGGCTGTGTGGAGCTCACTTGATTTCTGTTTGCCAAGAGTGGGAACAAGGTACCGGGTGCAGGTGGGAGCAGTCAGAGCACAAGATTCAGCTGCTGAAATAATATCGACATCTTTTAGTTCATTCAAAATGAATCAAGTTTTCAGCCCATGTTTTAGTATTCAGGAGTCTTTGGCATTGGCTGCTTACAGAAATTATGTCAGAGTAAGAGATTCAGCATGTCATTTCCTGAATTGCTCACTTCTTTACTAATTTTTCTTTACTAATTCAGCTCTGATTAACCTATGGCATCCCTTTTAACTGCACATTTATTTGTGGCTCAAGAGAATGATGACTTAAGCAGAGCTGACTTGCACTTCAGTTCAAGATCAGAACACTAATGGTGCTGTCAGTATTCATTTAACAGCTTTTGTGCTATGAAATAAATCATGACATTTCACATTATAATCGGGGGGGAGGAAGGGCTGGTTACACAAATGGCTACAGATGTATTTTAGTAAAAATGAGTGAAAAAAATTTGAAATACATGAACCTGCTGATTATGATGTTTTTTCTGCATTTCTACAAAGTTTACAGTTAATGTCCAGTAATTTCCTTCTTAGCTCCATTATTGAAAATTTCCCAGGTTAAAAGTACCTCCCAATCACAGCAAAGCAGAGAGATCACAGGAGTGTAATTTTTAACTGGGAAGAACAAGTTATGATTATAACCTCGTTTTTATGTCACAATTACTGTTCATCCCTTCTTGCTCATAGCTTCATGATGAGAATTGCAGTGCCCAGAATAAGCTCTTAAAATCCCCTGTTCTTTGCACCAAACTCACAGTTTAATAACATTCATATAGAGAATTTAAAGTATAGTGCGAATATCTTTACTGAAGAGAAAGGAATTCAATACACTGCACAATCTTGTGTCTCTCCATCTCTATTTGTATGGACAATCTTTGCCGATAGATTATAGAAACTTGCTTTTACTGAAACAAAGCTCAAAATGTCCATGGAAACCTCCATCCTATCATCTTTATCAATTCCTCAAACCTACTGCTCAACAATCTCTTCTTTAGTACGTTCCCATTTTGCTCACCTCAATGCCATCGATAAGGCCTGAAGGTGTGTCCCAAAAGGGTTTAGGCTACACATCTTCAGGAGAAACCTCTACCTTGTGCATCTACCTCATCAAACACTAATCACCATTCTTAGATCCCTGTCCATATCTATAAGCTCTAGTCAGGGAAGGCCTTCATTTTGTTTGGAGAAAATGTGAGCTGCTTCACTGAATATTTTGGAAAGACACTAGCTCCTTTTCTATACGCTTTTTAATGTTTGCAGAAGCAAGCCTTGTGGTGTGAAGAAATACAATTATTTGAATGGCTCCCAGAGACAAAATGTAAGAGAGGGAAAAAAAAACCAACAAAAAAACCCAACCAAAACCAAACCATCTGTGTTTCCACTTTAGTGTATACAGAATTTGTTTCATTACTTCAGCTATTTTTTTTTTCCTTTGCATATGCCCTGAAGTTATAGGCTGGACTCCGTCTACTTTCCAGTAGTGGTACCGCAGCTCATTTATAGTTAATTATTTCATTAAGACATGTCTTCAAGGTAGTTTAACTTATTTTTTTCTCATTAACTTGAAAAACAGTATCTTTTTGAGCTCAACCTGCTCTCACTTTCTAACTTTATACAGATAGGTACTTTCAGTGAAGTTCACAGGCTTTTTTTAACTTGTGTTCAGTGAAGGTTGCTTGGTATAACTCACTGATCATGTCCTTCCCCTTTGGGTATTGTATGTCCATAGCTGTCAATAACATTTAATTCTCAAGACTCATTTATAGTAAATATATTGGATTTCGACATCGGATTGGAGAAGGGTTTAGAGGAGTTTCTTCACTGCTAATTGCTGCATATTTAAAACTCGTCTTCAACAACTTTAGAAAGAGAAAGTTAATTTGGTTCAGATGGAAAAATGCAACAACTGAACACATTAATCATAAAAAACATACATAATAATTCTCATGAATATGATCAAAATAGCCTGAAATACAGTATTAGCTCTTTTTTTTTTTGGTAAGCATTCATGATACAAAGTACCTGTAAAATGTTCATTTTTGTGAGCTCTGAATACTTTTCACTCTGCTGTGGCATCACCATTTAACAGAGAGGTTCTTTTGTAATGTTGTTATATTTATATATATAATCCATAAAGAAAAAAATCTCTCTAAGTCTCTTGAAAACAGTTTTAGGCAGCATTTACCTTCCTAATGAGTGTTGTAAACACTAACTGTACCACATGCTAGCTTAGCTTGTCCCAAGCTTTCACTCTATTCCGATTTAGCTGCTCTATTTGTAAATGGATCAGGTTAACATGTTGTGTGTTTCTCTGGAGGAAAAGAAAAATAAAACTCGCATCATTTTAGCTGTCTAACACTGATGAATTATACCAACCCAAACTCACTAAGAGATTCACAGGCTGAAATGCAATTTTACCTCCAGTCCCCAGTAGCCCCTTCCTCCAGACAGTCTCCCTGGAAGACCCCAGACAGACAAATATTTGTTCTGCCTGGCTGAAGCTGTTCGTAGAGATATTGCTCCCTGAGAGGCAGCATACACTAATTTCACCTGAGCAGTGTGTTATTGCTCTTAATTGCCTATTCAGTTGCCGCTGGCTTCCCTCAGACCCGCTCTGACAAGAGCTCAGCAGGCTTGCTCGCCTGCAGCTCACCCCGCAGAGGGTTTCCCATCGCTCCCCATGGTGCGGAGCAGCGGGAAGGTGGCCTCTCTGTGCAACGCCTGCCTCCCTGCAACTCCCATCAGGGTACCAGCCACCCCACTGCAGATACCACCTATGCACTAAGGCACTTTCTTCCTCAGAGCATTCTGCAGGTTATCACCAGACTGGCATTCTGCTGGCATGCGTCTCGTTAGCTGAACGTGCTGCCCACAGAGATTAATGAAAAGTTATGATAATGCCGCTGCAATCTCTGCTTCCCTGGTGCAGCGAAGATTGAAATCAAATGGACACCTTTTCCTCCGAGGTGCGGCTTTGCTGGCTTCACCCAGGTTGTAACAGATGATGCTCATTTTCAATTTGGCCCCTTTTTCTTCTAAACAGCTGGTTTAAAGGCAGGAGAGACTAAATGTGAATCATTTTTATTAGCTCTCGTGATTCCTTGGAGCTGTCAGGCAGTGCTGGCAATCAGCTTTTCTTCATGGGATGGAGTTTTACAGTGTGTTACCATGGGCACAGGATAACAGGGAGGGGGGATGGCCTTAGAACGAATGCAACAGCAATAACCCTGTCTTTGGCACATTTTCTACAGTTACATGAAGCTTTTAAGAATTATGGAAATAGTCAGCTCAGCCTCAAATAAGAAGCATACTGTAAATGTTTCACCCCAGAGGTAGCTCAGGGAGTGAGGGACAGTTTGGCACATGTCTATACTGGAAACAAAGGGAGACACTGAAGATCATGTGGTTGTACCTGAGGTCGCTGCACAGCAGCAACGTGAAGGCTACCAGCAGCATGGTGTGGTTTCCAGCCCTGCAAACACTTGTGTACCACCCCAGTGCAGGTATAAAACCTGATAGGAGTGAACATGCTTTGAGTCTGTGCTTGTAGTAAGACATAGTTAACTGTGCATTGTAAATTTTGATTTTGTTGTCTCCTAAATATACTTTCTGCCAGGTGGGAGTAAGATAGAAATCCAAAGTTCAGGGAAAAATGAACAAAAAGATTGGAAGACATCAACTGGGCTATAGGATCAACAGGTGATCTTGGAGAGTACGGGGTTGGAAGCAGTCATGTGTGGAATGGAGGTGCCAAACAAACAACCGACACCACAGACTAAGCTGTTGCCGCACTGCAAGT